ACTGGAAATGCAAAGAAAAAATAAAATAAAAACAGTCCCTAATAAAAGGTAGAGTTTGGATCTGAGACCCTTTGTTTGAGGAAGATTAAACCTGTAGCCCATCAGTACACCTACACTGCAGGATAAACGCTGCAGACGACAATGGCAATGGGTTCAAAACTTCCTGAAAAGACAAGGAGCTCTCATTTTCATGCGCGCACAAGCACCCCCACACACACACATTTACTATGGTGTTCTTGCAGTAATGTTGAACTGACTTACAAATGTCTGGGAATCTTATAAAACGCTCCTTAGAATTCCTGTACTTTCTTTATCCTCTGTCATAAACATTTGTATGTATGCTAGTTATCTTCAGCTGGTGGTTTTGTTTTTTTGGTTTCCACCCATCATGAGCACTGTAAGGTTTCACACTAAGTATCCCACAAAATTACATTTCCTGTTATCATTGGGTATGCAATGAAACTAACTCCACCAACGTTTTTATTAGCCTCTCCAAGGAAAACATCTAGGCCAACCCTCCATTCAGTTCTCTTTTGACTGCATTTATAGTGAAAATATTCAACCCGCATGTGGTTCTCTTCAGTCCTCCAACAACATGTTAACTCATTTGTTTGTTGGACAATAGTTAAGGAGAGTACCAACAGTTTAAACTGTATGGTTCTCAGCATCCTTTCCCTTCATTTTTAGCTACACCACTATCATAACTTCAAGGTGATACACCACACAAAGGTGGAAGGGGATCACATTAGACAGAACCATTTTGCATTTTTCTTTGTTTCATAGGTCACTAAAGGCAAACATGTATCACTTAGTGACCAATACACTTGTAAAGAACCCCATCATTTTTAGATAAATTAGTTATTATATAGCAAATGTTATCTATTGCTAAAGCTAGATTTGTAACTTTTCCAGGATGGTAGAACCTACCAGAGTAAGAATTCTAGTGGAACAATATTTGAGAACTTAGAGTCAATTTTAAGCCTCAGTGAAGAATGGAACTGAATTTTTGTGGATGAAAGTATCAACCTCCTTAAATGAAACAGTATAAATAAAAGAATGCATTATGGAATAGAGGTTAAAAAATCCTCCCATAAATTATTTTTTTATTCAGTGCCCAAAAGGAATTCTCTCCTGAAAACAGTGACCTCAAATACTGTGTTAATATGAGCCAAGAATAGGAGGGGAAGGAGGAAAGAGAAGCATCTGGTTTGGTTCACCCACTCATTATGAGTCATCTTTTTTTTTTCCTTCCATTTTAATGATTCTGACATTACTGGTTGGGTGGCATAACACTGTTGTCTCCAGGAAAGAGGTAACACTATTTCTCCAAAGAGCTAAATGATGTTCTGAAATGATTATGGGCAGCATGTGAAAGTATGCCATCACAGAACAGTCTGTACCTTCTGGGAGAATGGCTTCTATGATCACCAAGATTGACTCTGAGGTACCCTTGTCTGAATATATGAAAACACATGCATGGATGTTATGAGACAAACTACACCTGAGATAAAGGAGCACAGAAACATGGATTAAAAGATCAGTATTTTACTCCTGGATATGAGGCAAAATCTTCTAAACATCCTGAGTTCACAGTACTTACCTGGGAAGCAGACTACTTTGCCACATATCAAACAGACACAACTTTACTTAAAGTATTCTCTTGAACAAGATTTAATTTTGGTCTAAGGGTTTACTCATTTGTAAATCGGAGATCACAATAATAGCCACTTGCCTTAAAAGGATATTTTTAATACTAAAAAATTAATACTCATAATACATTTCGAGACTTTTGACTCAATATCTACTAGTCATGTGGCCACTGGCAAGTCATTTAAATACTCTGTTTCTAAGTTTTCTCCTTTGTACGATGAAGATAATAATATACTACACTTTACTTTCACTGGCTTTTGTGAGGAAAGCATTTTGCAAATTTTAACAGGCTATATAAAAACATATTATTATAAGTGTCACATTACCAGAAAGATGTAGTGGATAAAGGCAGTAGACAGCTGACCTCAGAACTAGGAAGACCTAGGTTCAAGTGCCAGCTCTGAAACCCACTGGCTATGTAACTTTGAGGTGACTTAAACTATCACTATTCTAGGCAACTTTTGAAGCTGATAAATTTCATAGAAAGTACACACATGCATTGGTACAGAAAGTTTCCTCACTCAGGAATTTCCAAAACCAATTAAATGCCAGGTCCAGTTTCTATCCCTTATCCCTACCACCTTAACATCATTTACAAAAATCTACTTACCATCAATTTTCATCTCACCTTAATATGTGATGCATTGATATAACCAGTATTGTTTTCTTTGGTTGGGACCAATTCTACTCTGGTATCATCATAGGGGAGCACATCTTGGAATCTGTTTCTCTCTGCATTGTCAGGGAGTCGTGCTATTGCACATTCCCCATCTATCCGCCGCTTTTTCAGTATGCGTTCATATTCTGTGAATACCATTCCCTGTTCTAACCGCTGTTCCAGAATTTTACACTGAAAAAAAAAAAAAGCTTACACTGAGTGATGTGAAAATGTTCGCCTTTAATGATTCTAATCTCAAATCTTTATTAAAAAGGAATCAGCAGAAAAGAGGATAGTTTTCAGTTGTTTTTGCTTTGGGCTTATACCATATACCTAGCATTATTGTAATATAAAAAATTATTCTAGACAAAACACAAGGAAAAACATACAACAGAACTTTTGAGGGAACTGAAGAACATGATATACAAAATAAGGGCGGACGAAATGGAGATGTTTAACCTGGAAAAGACTTAGGAGAACTACGATTGTAATCTTCGGTTATTTATAGGGTTAACCTGGAGAGAAGGTTCCACTTAGAACTGAGAGTGGAACCAGCATCAATAAGTAGGAAGAATAAGGTGGCAAATTTCAGCTCAACATGACTTTGTAAGAGCTATTCCAAAATGGAATTAGCTGCCTCAACAGCCCCATTCCAAGCAGATTTAGAGTGACCAATTTTGGGGGTGTTACAGAAGGTATTTATGCCTTAGGTTGGATGAGAATTGGGCCAGAAAACCTCTGAAACACCTTCTAGTTTTAAGATTCTATGAAACATGAGGATTCTGGGAAGATGGCAGAATGAGGCAGGAATTTACCTGGCTCTCCCAAATTTCCCAAATAATTTAAAATAATGACTCACAGTGAAGTTTAGAGTGGCAGAAATAGTTAAAAGTCAAGGTAAAGCAGTTGTGCACTTAAGACAATTTGGGAGGATGCTAGGAAAGATCTGACCTCCTGAGGTGGTGGTCTGTCAGAGTGAAATGCAGATAACACCCTAGAAGATACTCCTGAATCAACAAGTTCTGAGGGCAGCTGTATTGGCAGCAACCTCAGCTTCAGGAACTTTCTCGCCATAAATAGTGTGCAGATTGGATGGCTGATCAGGGGAAAATTTCAGGAGCCCTCCTTTGGCACTGGACATGACACCCAGGTGCACTGACCACAGACAGTCCTAGGCTGTGGCTATGAGCAAGGAAGAGAATACACACACTAGTGAGTGCGGTTGCAGAGAGTGGGGCCCTACTGTTTTTATTGAACAGAGTTCTTGTTTCTGGTTCCAGGGTACATGGGGAAGTTGAAGCTTGCCGCTGAGGAAGGGAGCTAAGACACTAAGAGTTTTTGTGGTGACAACGTTGCTGGGGGCCATGGTCGCAACTTGGGGGACAGAGAGGAGTACCTGAGGTCAGGCCCCTAGATAGAACTCCAAAAACAATAAAATGAAAAATCTGAAGCTTGAGACATTATCCTCCATGCCTTGGGTCTAGAGCTTGACTATAACACAAAGTTAACAGCTAAGAAATAAGCTGCTGGGGAGAGGGAGGGAATAAATAAATAAAAGAGAAAACTCTACCACTGACAGCTACTATTGAGACAGAGAAGATCTGGGTTCAAACTCAGAAGAAGACAGTGAAGTCACTTCAAAGTGAAGTTACTTCAAAGAAAAATGTAAAATGACCACAAGCCCAAATGAGTTCTCAGAAGACCTTAAAAAGGACTTTAAAAATCAAAAAAGAGAGGTTAAGGAAAAAATAAGAGAGCAAAAAATAAGAGTAATGCAAGAAAATCAAGAAAATTAGGAAAAGAGAGTCAACCAATTGGAAAAGAAATAAAAAAAAACTTATGGAAGAAAATAACTCCTTAAAAATTAGACTTTGGGTAAGGAAAAGTTAATGACTTCATAAGACACCAAGAAATAATAAAACAAAATCAAAAGAATGGAAAAATGGGAGAGAATGTGAAACACCTTATTAGAAAAACAACTGACCTGGAAAATAGAGCAAGGAGAGATAATATGAGAATTGTTGGACTACCTGAAAGTTAAAATTTTAAAAAGTTTAAACACTATACTTCAAGAAATTACCATGGAAAATTGTCCTGAAGTTTTAGAACTAGAGGATAAAATAGATGGAAAAAAATCTACCAATCACCACCTGAAAGAGATCCCAAGATCTCACAGAAATATTATAGCTAAGTTTCAAAGCCCCCAGGTGAAGGAGAAAATATCACAAGCAACTAGAAGAAAAAAAAACAATTTAAATACTGTGGAGCTACATCAGGATAACAAAATTTAGCAGCTTCTACATTAAAAGACCAGAGCATGAAACAAGATATTCAGAAGGGCAAAAGAGCTGGGTTTGCAACCCAGAATAGCGTACCCAGCAAAGCTGAGTGTAATTTTTCATGGGAAAAAAAAATCACATTTAATGAATTAAAGGACTTTCAAGTATTTGTGAGGAAAAGACCAGAACTGAAGAGAAAATTTTGACCTATAAGAATTAGGAAAAACATAAGAAGGTAAATATGTGAAAGACCAATTATTAGGGATTTAATGAGGTCAAACTGTTTACTTCTTATACGGGAAAATATCTGTAACTCTTAAGAATGTTATCATTACTACAGTAGTTTAAAAGAGCATACATAGATAGAAGGCTTGGGGTTGAGTTGAGTATGAAGGGATGATCCTAAGAAATAAAACTGGATAAGAAGAAGCAATTATCTCATATAAAAAAAGTGTGAATGAAAGAACTGTTACAGTGGAGGCAAGAGAGAATGGAGGTCTGGTAGTGCTAGAACCTTATTTGCAGTTGAACTGTGTTAAAGAAGGAATAACATATACATCTAGAAGGGTATAAAAGTCTTAACTTACAAAAAATGGAAGGGGGAGGGAATAGGATAAGAGAGGGACTCTTAGAAGAATTGCTAGATTAAGGAATGGGACAGTGAGGGGTGAGGGATTCTTAGGAGGGGTACAGATTAAGTAAGCATTAGTCAGACATAAATTAAACATCTGAGGAGGGATAGAGTAAAAAGAAATGGAGAAAAGGATAAACTGAGGAAAAATAGGATGAAGGGAAATACACAACTAGTAATAATAACTTTAAATGTGAATGGGATGAACTCACCCATAAAACAGAAAAAGATGGCAGAATGGATTAAAAACCAGAATGCTACAATATGTTGTTTACAATAAATACATTTAAACATGAGAGATACAATAGAGTAAAAATAAAAGGCTGGAGTAGAATTTATTATGCTTCAGCTGATGCAAAAAAAAGCAGGAGCAGCAATCATGATCTCAAAGTTAAAGCTAAAATTGATTTAATTAAAAGAGATAAATAGGGAAACTACATTATGCTAAAAGGTACCACAGATAGATAATGAAATAATATCAATACAAAACCTATAAGCACCAAATGTTATAGCATCCAAATTTTTAAAAGAAAAGCTAAATGAATTACTGGAAGAAATGGATAGCAAAATTATAATAATGTAGGACTTCACCCTTCCCCTCTCATAACTAGATAAATCTAACCAAAAAATAAACAACAAAGAAGTCAAGGAGACGAACAGAATCTTAGATAAGATAGCTACCTGCAGAGACTTGAATGGGAATAAAAAGGGATATACCTTTTTCTCAGTAGTATATGGTACCTTTACAAAAACTGACCACATGTTAGGGCATAAAAATTTCATAGTAAATGCAGAAAAACAGAAATACTAAATGCATCCTTTCAGATCGTAAGGCAATAAAATCATATTTAATGAGGAACCATGCAAACACAAATTAAAAATTAATTGGAGACTAAATAACCTAATCTTAAAGAATAAGTGGGTTAAAAAACAAGTCATAGAAACAATAAACAATTTTATTAGAGAGAATAATAATAATGAGACAACATACCAAAACCTATGGGATGCAGTAAAAGCAGTAATCAGACGAAAATTTATATCTCTAAATGCTTATATCAATAAAATAAAGAAAGAGCAATCCAATGAGTTGGGTATGCAGTTAAAAAAAAACTAGAAAGCGAACAAATTAAAAATCTACAATTAAAAACCAAATTGGAAATCCTAAAAATTAAAGGTAAGATTAGTAACAATTGCATGTAAGAAAATCACTGAACTAATAAATAAAACTAGGAGTTGGTTTTATGAAGAAAAAAAACCAATAAAATAGATAAACCACTGGTTAATGTTTTTAAAAAGAAAGAGAACACCAAATCACTAGTATCAAAAAAAGAAAAGGGTGAGTATGCCACTAATGAAGATGAAATTAAATTAGGAGTTATTTTGCCCAATTATATGTCAATAAATTTAACAATTTAAGTGAAATAGAAGAATACTTACAAAAATATAAACTTCCTAGATTAGCAGAAGAGGAAATAGAACACCTAAATAAACCTATCTTAGAAAAAGAAATTGAACAGGCCATAAATGAGCTTCCAAGAAAAAAGCATCAGGACCAGACGTATTTATAAGTGAATTCTACCAAACATTTAAAGAACACCTAGTTCCAATATTAAATAAATAACTAAAAGGCAAAGAAGGAATACCAACAAACCCCTTTTATTTTTTATGTACTTATTTATTTTTGGTGAGGTGATTAGGGTTAAGTGACTTGCCCAGGGTCACACAGCTAGTAAGCGTTAAGTGTCTGAAGCTGGATTTGAACTCAGGTCCTCTTGAACTCCAAGGCCAGAGCTCTATTCACTGCGCCAACTAGCTGCCCCTGCAAACCCCTTTTATGAAACAAATATGGTATTGACACTTAAACCAAGAAGAGCAAAAACAGAGAAAGAAAATTATAGACCAATTTCACTAGCAAATACAGAGGCAAAAATCCTAAACAAAATATTAGCGAGGACACTACAACAATATAACACAAAGATTACACGTTGTGAACAAGTGGGAGTTATACCAGGAATGCTGAAATGAATTAACATAAGGAAAATTATTAAAATTGATCACATATCAATAACAAAAGTAATAAAAAATCATGACTATATCAATAGATGCAGAAAAGGCTTTTGACAAAATACACACTCATTCCTATTAAAAACACTTGAAGGCATAAATACAAATTGATTTTTCCTTAAAATCATAAGAAGCATCTACCTAAAACCATCAGCAAGCATTATTTGTAATGGGGACAAGCGAGAAGTCATCCCAGTAAGATCAAGAATGAAAACAAA